GGTAGGCGTGTAACCTAGACCAAAGGTGTAAGGGTTGTGTGGCACTTTGGCCAATGCAGTGATGCGCTTCCGGCCGCTCCTTCCAAATCCCATTTCGGGTACATGTTGCTTATTCATAAGGTAAACGAATTGAGCACTGACATACAGTCCCTCATCAACAGCTAAAATATCTTGCACTACTCGGGCCTCGGCCAAGGTGAACCCGGACAAAAAGGCATCCTCCTCGCCGTATACAATTTCCGATGTATGGAAAAGTTCCCAAAAACAATAGCTACCCCCTTCCCATGGGGGTATTTCAGCATCTGATGTAGAGTGGAAGAGACAACTCTCACTTGGAGCAGCCATGGCCGTCCAATGAGTAAATTAAAGGTGGCTGGAACATCCAAGACGTGAAATTCAATGTCCTGTTGCGCCAAGCCAACCTAAGTTCTGATTCGCAATGTCCCCATCACTTCCTGACTTGTATTGTTATAAGACCGAATCACCTGGGCCGTTGGTACGAAGTTCGCAGGTTTCAAACCGATAGCATAAGCCGTGCGTGATGGACACACATTAATTGCATATCCGGTATCAACCAAGACAACTGGTATCCACTTCTCTTTACACTTCATAGAGATATATAACGGTTTGTTGTGCTCAGAGCCCTCAGGCGGCAATTTTTTATCTGTGAAAGTTAAAGTCGGTGAAGCACCACCCGAGAAAACTAGTCCCACTAATTGCTCAGGGGTTGTATCGATAGAGAGCTTAGCCTTATCCATTGCTGATAGGACGGCTTGTCTATGCACCCGTGAAGCCATGAGCAAGCCCCAAATAGAGATATCCGCCTGAATTTTCTTCAGCTGCTTCAGTACAACTTCCTCTTCTAACAATTTCTCTTTCTGTTTCTTAGCTTTCTTATCTTTGCCTGATGCTTCCGGTTGGTCCAAGTATGGGGGCTTGAAGTACCGCCCATTCCGAGTCATGTGATCATGTTCCTCGGCATACCATGTATCATCTGGTAGATTCTGTCCCCAATCCTCATCCGTGTGGGCAAGATGCAAGTCTTCATCTTCCCACCATATTCCTTCGGCAACTGAGAAACACCCATCTAGTTCCGCTGTAATCATTCATGTGTTCACAACACAATTAGTCCTCATGGGGCCTTTGGCTTTTCTAGCCTTCTGGCTAGTCTCAGTTGTTTCCTGCTCGAACCGCTTCAGCGCGGCCTCCTGTTCTATATCAGCTGTACATAAGCTACCTAATTCTTAAGCAAAATTCTTAGTACTGGTGCTCTCCGACAACTTCCTATTGTTGTCAACCATTCCGGCCGTTGTAGACGTTCCTGTTTCCAATTGTTCATATTTCGATTGAGACCTCTCATCAACATCTGGCTTATCACTAAGCTACCCTGTATTATCCGTTGATCTATTCATATCAAACTAGCCAATTTGTACATTCCCCAAATCCTGTTCATCAAAGAACTGTAGATTACTGATGTCCTTCTCAAGCTCAGCTAAGTCATCCAGCCCCTGGCTTCACCCGTCCTCCCGGACTACATTAACCACAATCCCCACCGACAATTCCACCCTCGGTCTGGCCTAGCTAGTTGGCACAATGTAACAGTAAGGGTTGTACTCTTCTTCAGTTAAGCTCATAGGGCCCTCAGGCATGCCTTCTTTTACCATAGCCACCACCATGGGTTTGGGTTGGGATATAGACGCGCTCAACATGCACAAGTCTGTGCTTTCTAGTATGAATAACGCCGGCTTAGGCAGGTGGGAGGGAGTGATGCATATGCTGGGGTCGTATGGGACAGCCATTGTTTGGATAAGGTTTACTTGCCTAGGTGGAGGAGGGGGTTGGTTATGTGGTGGGAGAGGGTTTGTAGTGACGTTAGGCTTCTCAGGAGGCGCTATCACATTATTGTCAATGAGATCCTGAATCTCATGATGGAGTCTAGAGCATAGGTCGGTATCATGACCATGCTGCTGGTGGAAAGCGCAATACTTGGCCGGGTTGTGTGTATGAGAGAGGGGATTAGGCAATGGGCGCGGCTCCAGGGGCTTCAGATGCCCTTTTCTGATTAGGACCCCTAAGGCTTTGGATAAAGACATGTAGAGTGGGGTGAAAATCCTCTGGCCCCAGGGTGGGTACTATGCGGGTTGTGGGGTGGTTCCGGATGTACCAGTAAAGGGGGTGGCTGTTTTCGGTGTGGTGGTGACCATACCAACATCAAAGGTCCTTGTAGTTACGTTGCTACTCGTAGCCGCATTTGAACTGCGTGTAAAAGCCCTCTTGGGCTTCTTCTTTTCATGGTCAATTAGACCCTGTTTCATCGCATCCTCTATCTGCACCCTTATCTTAGAAAGGTCGGCAAATGTAGGGAGGGGTAAGACAATCATCTTCTGCAGCAGCTTCAGTTGCAGATTACGAATGACCATTCTTATCTGGTTTTTCTTAGCTAGCCTGGTGGTCATCATGGAGGCCCTGGCCCTCCACCGAGTGATGAAATCGGAGAAGCCCTCCTTTGGTTCTTGTCGAGTAGCCTCGAGATCACGAGTGGTGACCTCGATTTGAGTGTTATAAGAATATTGGGTGACAAAGGCCTCGGCCATCTCTTCCCAACTCCTTTTCATAGAATCCTCCAGTTTGGCATACTAGATAGCCGCAATACCCGACAAGGTCCGGCCAAAGAGGGATAGCATCTGCAATCTAGTCAGGCCCATCGGCCGCAGAATATTTGAAAATAGCCACAAATGGACCATGGGATCACTCGAACCGTCAAAGCAGTCTATGTGTGGCATTTCAAATTTATCAGGCAATGTCACCGCCGAATCTGTATAAACGTCCTCTATGTTCGGGATTGGGTTGGCACCCTAAGCCCACTTAAAAAGCTTCTTAAGCCTGCTCACTTTCAGAGCAGTAGGGCCGACTTCGAACTCAAAGGGGGTCTCCGTTAGGTAGGCTGGTGTTTTGGAAGTTTGGGGTGGAATTGGATCCACTGGGATGTCCGCATTTTCTTGGTCATTGGCTGTGGGAGCGTGAGCTCTGGCTAGTGGAATATCTACAGGAGGTGGGTGGGATGTAGAAGCTATTGCCTGCTATGGTGGTTGTTGTTGTTGCTGTTGTTGTGGAACCCTAGCAATCAGTTCAGCCTGCTGGGATGCAACCTCTGTTTGGTGAGCAGTAACTTCCGCTTAGCGAACAACGTTCCACTGCATGGCCTCGATGGTCTGTTGAAGTTGACGCATCATATCCTCTATACTGTCTTAGGGGTGCCGATATATCAGAACCGGTGTATACTCTTTTTTTGAGGTGGAAGCAGAAAAATGGGCCTAACTGCGCACAGGTGACGTAGATAATGACCGCTGAATTGGTGACTACTGAACCGGTGATCTATGCCTGATTGTCCTCCGTCTCGTAGCCGGGCCTAGCGAAGGAAACACTGGTTGTCCTCTAATAAGATCCTCAGATCGGAAAATCCTCCTGACTCTGGTCCAGAGTGCTCGGGGGGTAACTGCCTCGTCGAAAGCAATTGTGAAATACTACCTTGCAAAAAAAAAAAAAAAAAAAAAACAAAAAGGAAAAAGCAAAGAAAGAAACAACAATCAGCAAACGCATAACATCTCGGCTTAGACGAGGACAACACACAGTTGAAATCATAAGCTGGACAATCTGTACTCAAACACTGATTTCTGCCCCAAAATTTTACCTCAAAATTGATACCCTCTAACTGATACTCAGACACGCAACTGATGCATACATTCCTGCAGAGTCACACTCTAAAAACACATATTAAGCACGTGAGAGCCAAAACACCCCTATGGTGGGGTAGGGTATCGGTTCCTAATTGTGACTCGATTGAGTTGACGGTAATCGATGCATAGTCTTAACGACCCATCATTCTTTTTAGCAAACAACACGGGTGCTCCCCATGGTGTAGTACTTGGGTTAATGAATCCTTTTTCGAGCAACTCCTGTAGTTGTGTTTTTAATTCTTGTAGTTCTACTGGTGCCATGCGATACGGGGCCATGGATATTAGGGTAGTTCCAGGTTGAAGCTCAATACTGAAGTCTACCTCCCTGGTTAATGGCAATCCCGGTAATTCTATCGGAAATACATCTGCATATTCGCATACTACGCGCGGAAGTTCTAATCCTTCTTGGCTCTCCTCATTTAAAATCAGACTTGCTATCCTACTCGCAAGTTGATCGCGCCACTGCGTCCTACGTTTCGTTGAAGTCATGAAGTCTTGTCTATCCCCCTTAAACTGGAAACGCGTTCCATCAGGCGTGTGAGCTACCACTTTCCTCTGACGACAGTCGATCACCGCTTGGTGGGCAGACAACCAATCCATGCCCAAAATAATATCGAAGTCTGACATTTCCATGACACGAAGGTCGCAAGTTAAGTGTATGTTTGACATTCCTATCTTACAATCCTTACAGATCAATTCTATCCGAATGCATCCTCCCATAGGTGACATTACATTTAAGGCAGTTTCTATAGGTTTTCCTACAAGTTCTAATGATTTAGCATAAGCAGAGGATATAAAAGAATGTGATGCACCAGTATCAAATAAAACATGCACCCAAGAATTGTATAGCACTAAATTACCCTCAATTACAGACAGGTCCACTTCTTCCTCTTGCAAGGCAAAGACTCGGCTAGTTGCCTTTTGGTTGCCATTGGTCTTGGCGTTCTGAGTTCCCCCACAGTTTTGGTGCTACTGCCTGGTAGATCCTGTCTTGTTTGTCCAAGGCTTCTACCCACCTAATGCCTGGGCATTTGTTCCGGAACCTCCTCCTTGGTACCCAGATGGAGGGAGTTAGGGGCATTCGCTCTTTTTGTGCCCCAATTGTTGGCAATGAAAGCATTGGAGTTGTCCTACTGGCCTTGTCTGATAGCCTCCTCTCTGGATCTGTTGATGTGGTTGCTGTCGTTCCTGTTATGGTTGTGGTCTGGAGTAGGGCTTTGAGGCCATGTTTCCTTTCTGGTTTCTCTGAGGTCCAATAGAGGTCTAACTCCCTTTCCACTTGTTCCAAGCCTTTCTAGCATCGGTTACTTCCCTTTCAGACTCTAATGCCGTTTCCAACACCTCAACATATGAGTGGAGTCGTTGCGGAAGAACTTTTCCCCTGATTGTAAGGTCTAACCCCCACTCGAACATCCTTGCTTTCTCTTCATCATTTGCAGCATATCTAGTTGCGTAACGGGCTAACTCTTCAAATTTTGCAGCGTACTAGGTCACGGTCATATTTCCTTGTTCCAGGTTTTGGAATTCCTTGACTCGCTCTCGACAGACCGTATTTGGGAAATATTTATTTAGGATTAGTTCCCTGAACTGGTTCCATGATAGGCTAGCTACGTCACGAGTATTCTTGATTAACTCCCACCAGTGGTCAGCCTCATCATCAAGCTCGAATACTACCAAAGCTATTCTATCAGCGGCTTTAGTTATGCCCATGGTGTCTAGCATTTTCTCTATCTGTCGAAGCCAATTTTCAGCTACCTTTGGGTCCGGTACACCTGCGAACTTTGGGGGCCTCTGTTTTCGAAATTCAGAAGAGTCGAGTCCTCTCATTTTGCTGATTGTTCCTTAATTGCCCTAGTTCTTCCAAAATTTAATGACCTAGGTTATTGGGGATATCAGCCCCTGTGGGTACAGGTCCGTGTTGATTTCTAGGACAGTTCCGTGCATTGTTGCTGATTTTTGTATAGCCATTAGCTCGCGTGTCCACCATTCTGTTCATGGCACGTGGTGAGTTGGTTTCTAGTTTTAGAGAATCTTACTACTTAGATTTGAAATGAAGGTTCAGTTTCCTTAGGGTGTACTAAAGCAAGTAACAGTCAACAACATAGATCAACACATCATTCATATATTTTAATAGACATCATTACAAAAGGGCTTCTAAATCGGAGTTACATTCAAAAGGCATCTACACATTACGAAGTTCAAGCTATCTTATTCTAAGGATCCCCATCAGCGGATCTTACAAAAGTCTAGTTTTACTATCCCTCGAACTAGTTCTCGTTTCCCGACTAATCAAAGTCTTCTTCTGGGTCTTCATCAGCGGAGTTAGTTGCTTGGTCCGAAGAGAGGGGGTGTACATTGGTGAGGACGGATTGTGTTCAGATGACACCTCTATAGGGTAGGCTTGGGTTGCCATTGCTGTTCGGGTGACTGCCCCATATCCATTGGTTGATTGTCGCCTGGCCCCTGATAACAAGATTCGTAGCTTTCAACCTGAGTCAGTGGTCGGTGGTATGCTATGGTGGCCGAAGCTCGGTGTATCAAGGAGTCCATCCTCTGATCATCTTGCTCCATTCGGATCGTCTTTTTCGCTGCCCGACTTAGAAATTGTAGGCAGCGCTACACCAGGGACCTCTTCTGCTTCCTTGTATAGCGAGAGTACTCCGTTTCCACCTTACGTATCTCTGCTATGATCATTTTCTCGGTGGCACTCGCACAACATCGACGGCTAAAGTAGGGGCTAATAGACATGGCCGTCTTTCCTTCCATACGGAAAGTACCCCACGAGTCAAGACTGACGCCGCGTCCTGGATAGTCTCCCGATGACATCCTAAGGTGGAAAATGATTTTTATATTGTTAGTCTTCTTTAAATATAATAGGGTGATAAAATAAAATAAGATAAAGGGGTAAGAGCTTCTAGAGTGGCATATTGGGTTGCTGTAGACACCCCATTTTTGACCGACCTTAAGACTCAGACGTCACCGATTGAGCGCTTGGTGATGTTGCATAGTGTGCTCGTTCAGAAGTTTCAAGGTCGCGGCCGTAAGCCCTGCCTCCGGACTTCCGAACCCTTTTCTGTGCCTTGTCTCGGTTTGCGAACCAGACTCGGTTTTCTCTGTTTCTTTTCCTGAGGGGAGGGAGAGGCCCCGTAGACCATCTCTCAATGTCTGTAGGCTACATTTGGTGGCCGTAGGCCATTTTGCCCATTTCGGAGTCCGGTTCCCAGTTTTCGGGACCGTTGGCCGCGTGCCTCGGTTCGGGATCGCTTAACCATCTCCTATTGCTCTGATTTTTGGCATACATCTTATTTCATACATTTTGAGGGACACTGAGGGCTGAGAAACCCACTTTGAGGTCAAATACAATTTTCGGTGCTTAACAGCCCATTTCCGGGACCCCGAACTGCGTGTTTTGGCTCCGGAACATTCGTTTTGCAACGGTTTTCGCTCATTTTTGGCAGGTACCTCTGTTTTATCACAGGGAAGGTCACTGAAGGGTGGGAGGCCAGCAATTGTTGCAGCAACCAGTTATTTCTCTTCCGGAGCCTCCCGGCGCCCGTTTTTCCAACTTCCGGGCTAATGTTGAATACCTTAGAGCTAGCGTTGCCAACTTTCGACCACATATCTGTGATCTACACATCTGGGAGGCCACTAAAAGTTGGTGGCCGGCCATTAAGGTCACCTGACCCTTTTGACCCCTTTCTTCCGGGCTAATGTTGAACCCCTTAGACATTTTTTCTCGAACTTTGAACCACATATCTGTGATCTACACATCTGGGAGGCCACTAAAAGTTGGTGGCCGGCCATTAAGGTCACCTGACCCTTTTGACCCCTTTCTTCCGGGCTAATGTTGAACCCCTTGGACCTTTTTTCTTGAACTTTGAACCACATATCTGTGATCTACACATCTGGAAGGCCACTAAAAGTTGGTGGCCGGCAATTAAGGTCACCTGACCCTTTTGACCCATTTCTTCCGGGCTAATGTTGAACCTCTTGGACCTGAGTATGAAACTAACCTATTCCACTTGAATGAATATCATATTGTGTGACCGACATCGGATGTCGTGAATGCTATCTTATCCCAGATTTCACACCCGGTATCAAGCTAGCATGGGATGTCAGTCACAGAATATATGGTATTCATGGAAAAGGTTAGTTTTGTAATATTTGCACTTAAAATATAATGAGCGTTGTTATTAGCACCTGTCAAAATTCTTTGGACCCCCCATTTTATAATTTTTTTTATTACAATTATACCTTAAAGTAAAATTACATTAAAAGACATTATGAAATGGAACACCCACCTATCAATAATAACTAATACTCTATAATATTGGACACCCACCCACACCCCCACCCCCACCTCTAACTCCAACTATACGTATTCCATGTTTGTAAGCCCTAAACCTATTACTTTTCATAACCAATTAACATAAACCCTAAATCTATTATTTTTCACAATCATCTTAAATCCTGAATATGTCATCTTCATCACCATCATCAACACTATTGAACTTGAAAGTTTTGCTTCAAGTATAACATATACTTCATCACTTATTTCATTGTGTAGAGCAATGGAGGACGAGGACAACAATTCTAGAGAGATCGGCGTTCCATTGGTAAGTTTATCTGTCTTATATTAACATTCTCGGTTGTTTTTAGTCGTTTTCAGTTGTTCTTGTTTTGTTTTGAGCTGTTTGGTACTGGTTTGCCGACTGTTAGGATTATGCTCGGTAATACAGTACTGAACATAATCCTTTCATTCAATACATAGGTTCCGAACATTAATACATATAGTCAGTACTGTTAAACCGAATATCATCTTTATTTTCGGCACTGTTGAACTGAACAAAACCATTAGTTTCGGGACTGTTGAAATGAACATCATTTTTTCAATTTTGAAATTACATTCACACGTATTTTCAGGGTGATGCTTTGACTAGAGGCAGTAAGGTTGATTCAGAACTTGTAATGGATTATAGTAATGAATTTATTACTTATGAGGTGAGTCTTTGATTGTTTTACAAATAATGTACCTTTTTTATGTGCAATAATTGGTTAGTTTAATTTATTTATTTCAAATATTCAAGAGTTGAGATGAGTTAATTCGATGGGCACGTCAAGTTAGAAAAAGAAATGGATTCGTTATTGTCGTGTAGAAATCAGATAGGGGTGGTATTTGAGGTAGGAAGCCAAGACTTAGCTTAGCTTGTGAGAGGAGTGGATCTTATACGGACACTCGAAAAATAGTCAGGCCTAAGACAAAAAAAGCAAGACTGACTAGTACAAAAAAATGTGAATGTCCTTTTTATTGAAGGGCAAAAAATTAGCCACAAATGATGACTGGATCTTGATAGTTATTTGTGGTGTGCATAATCATTCTACTGCAGAATATCTTGAGGGTCATTCTTATGCTGGAAGGTTGTCACATGAGGAAACCTCTTTGTTGGTAAACATGTCGAAAAGTATGGTACGACCGAGTGAGATATTGGTTACATTGAAACAACGTGATGATGCAAATGCTTCCACAATGAAGACAATTTACAATGCACATCATAGGTATAAAGTTGCTGAAAAAGCTGGGAGATCTCAAATGCAACAACTATCAGGTCAGTTAGCAGTAAACAAGCACATTGAGTGACATATGAGCTGTGCAAATACTGAGACAGTGACTGATTTGTTCTTTGCACATCCTACTAGTTTGAATTTGTTATGTGCATTTCCAAAAGTATTGTAGATGGATTGTACTTATAAGACCAATCGATATCGGTTGCTTATTCTGGAGATTGTAGGTGTGGCATCGACAGACATGACCTTTTCAGTTGCATTTGCATACCTCCAGTATGAGAAGCAGGATAACTACACATGGGCACTTGGTATTTTGCGTAGTGTCATGGATGAAAATACTCTTCCTTCTATTATTGTCACAGATAGAGAATTGGCCCTTATGAATGCCATATGTATGGTGTTTCCTGCAACTAAGAATTTGTTGTGTAGATGGCATATTGGAAAAAATGTGCTTGCTAATTGCAAAAAAGATGTTTGAGACAGAAGATAAATGAGAAATGTTTATAATGAGTTGGAATATGTTGGTTATGTCATCGTCTGAA